AGCTGTATGTCTCCACATGCCTTTGAGGGTAATGAAATATTACTGCATTTACCACACCATAAGTGAGAATTATATAATGAAATTCTATCAAATAACCTTTACACTGACATGCATGATATATAACACTCCTATTTTTAAATTAAATAAGGATTCTAACTCTCATTGATCTTCAAGTTTCTAAATGCTTTTGAAGACCCAGGCATTAAAAACTTGTCAGAATTCATTTGTGTCTACTTATATAATAAAGGATTAAGCAAAAAGCCCAAATTTTGCTCTCTGATTCACTAAAATAAGGAAAGTGAATTTTTAAAACATGGCACAGAATGTCTCAGAGCCCTAAATAAAAACTGCTTGCTAATAACACTGTTTTTTGATGCTGTTTCTCAGACATTAATTAAAATGCTACTGGTGTAATCTACTGATGATATTTTACAAAATCACTGATTTAATATGCCAATTTTGGTCAAAGTCTATTAAAGAAATTCTCAGGTTTTAATTTTCCTGCATCATTTGAAAAGATGACACTGCCAGAGCATGAAGGTTCAAAGTTTGAAAAGCTTCATGTCTCAAATATTTTTCCCAGTAAATGAAGCATGTACAATGCAGTCACTATCAACTCCTTACGCATGCAAAATCTCTGTAGAGATGATGATTACAGTATCAACACGACACTTTAGAAGTGTCACTATATCATTTCACTGAATGCTATGTCCTTCAGTTTGTTTCGATGACCTTCCAAAAAATCTTGATAGACACTGACTTAGAAAGACAACAATTTTGCAGTGATTTGCTGTGCAGTAAATAGTATATTTAAGAAAAATGTTTCCAGAAAAAAGGGTGAAAATTATTTGCTTTTTTTACTTCATGTGGAATTTGCTATCTTCAACATCTGTGGCACAGCAAGGTCATCAGAGAGGCAGGAAAGAGGTTTTGTTTTTCATTTTAAAAGCTGGATAACTATGAACAGACGGGAAGATGAATGGTGAAAGGTTTAGTAACGTGATCAGAAATTCACTAAAGGAAATGGAAAAGATTTAATGAATTTAGTTAGCTTTCTGTTCTCAGAAGAGAGATCTTTTCAGGCTAGTATTGCAAGAAGCGTATTATAGGAGACTATTTTTAGGTTAACAGTGTTTTTAACATTTTAGTTACCTAAGGAATGTTCTAGGCCATTTATCTAGTTACAAATAATTTTATTTTTATAATAATTGTTTATCAGGAACAAAAAAGTTAAACACAGTGCAATGTAGTCATTAGGCTTGTCTTATCACTGACGCAACCTGAAAGAAGTTGCATCAACTCTGTTCTTCCCATCATCTTACTAAAAGGAACTCATACTAAGTTAATGATATCAAATTAGTATTCTCAAACATTGTTAATGACCTCAGCCATAATGTTCTGGAAGAGAAATACCTATTGGCCTTCCACTTGTTCCCAACCTGTATTCATTATGCTTTGCTTCCTAGATTACATCCCATTAATACCAATAAAATGTGTATGGATAGAGAGCATTGGAAAAGGCTATGTATCCCAAAAACACAGCTTGAGCACGCTAATTCAGCCCTGGGGGAAAGAAACAGATTCTGTAACTGTGATATTGAACAAAAAACATTAGGTTTGTACCTGCTTTGTGCAATTGTTCTGAAGTAAAACAAATCCATCTTTGGCCAGCAAATCTATGAAGAATGTTTGAGGTTGGAAGGGACCTCTGGTGGTCATCTGGTCCAACCCCTCTACTCAGACAGGACCACCTAGAGCTCGTTGCCAAGGACCATGTCCAGATGGCTTTTGAATATCTCCACGGACTGGAGATTCCAGTACCTCCCTGGCCAATCTGTGCCAGTGCTCAGTCACCCTCACAGTAAAAAAGTGTTCCCTGATGTTCAGAGGGAACCTCTTGTGTTTCAGTTTGTGCCCGTTGCCTCTGGTCCTGCCACTGGGCACCATAGGAAAGAGTCTGTCTCCGTCCTCTTTGCACCCTCCCTTCAGGTATTTATAGACATTGATAAGATCCACCTGAGCCTTCTCTTCTCCAGGCTGAACAGTCCCAGCTCTCTCGGATTTTCCTCATAGGAGAGATGCATCAGTCCCTTCATCATCTTCATGGCCCTTTGCTGGATTCTCTCCAGTACGTCCATGTGTCTCTTGTACTGGGGAGCCCAGCACTGGCCACAGTACTCCAAGTGTGTCTCACCAATGCTGAAAAGAGGGGAAGGATCACCTCCCTCAACCTGCTGGCAATACTCCTAATGCAGCCCAGGATACAATTAGCCTTCTTTGGCAGAAAATATGGTCGGCTCATGTTCAACTTGGTGTCCATCGAGACTCCTAGGTCCTTTTCTGCAAAGCTGTTTTCCAGGTTCCAAGTATTTGGATCCATTGACAACCAAGATATTAGACCATGCACCACTCCATTCATGTGTATCTCTGTGTCCCAGCCACACAAGCAGTTTTTAACCAAACCAAGGCAAAGCTCAGAACATCAACTCAGTTATTCTATAGATGTTCTCTCTCAGGTCTCACAAATATCTGTGACTCATGACGTTCTGAGATGAAGCAGGCAAGCCTCATGAAAGTATGACTTTCTAGGCAGGCAGTAGATTTGAATCTATCCAGAGACTCTTTGAAATATTTACATTATATAAGGCACTGATCATCCACAAAGAGATTAGCAAGATGTATGATTAATAAAATCAGGTTATAAGATAGAAAACTAGTAGTACATAAAATATCCAAAAGAGAAGTAAATAGTAAACAAAATTGTTCAGAAACATTTGAAAATTACATTATCCAAAATTGCAAATGTCAAAGCCTCCGTTTCAAAGAAAGTTAGCAAAGCATAAATTCTTCTATAAATGAATTTTGAACATTAACACAATACTGGAACAGGCTGCCCAGAGAGGTTGTGGAGTCTCCTTCTTTGGAGATATTCAAAACCTGCCTGGATGCAGTCCTGTGCAACTTGTTGTAGGTGAACCTGCTCTGGCAGAGGCGTTGGACTAGATGATCTACAGAGGTCCCTTGCAACCCCAACCATTCTGTGATTCTGTGAAAATATGGATCTTAACCAATTCTTCAAGCTCCTGGTGAAACTACGTGCTTGATGCTAGAGTGACAGTTTGTGATTTAATGAGAGGCTGTCCATGGAGGGAAAGACAGATGGTATGGGACTGGAGTGTAGAAGAAAACAGAGTAGGTATAGAACCACAAGTGAAAAAAGCCAAAAGCTGAAAAATTACTTTTTGGTTACAGCTACTAGTTACATAGTCTTAGAATTAAATCAGAGCACAGAGAAAGAAATGACCCCAAATAGGAGCTGAAGGTTCCTCCTTCAGAAGAAAATGCTGTAATTGATATGTCCTGGCAGATTCATACGTAGCACCCTGTCCTACTGCTCCTACACAGCAGAGAAAGTTACCAGAGGACAGAACGGTAAGGTTAGAACACCAAGAATTAATTATTTTTGTATAACTATCTTTGGACAGAGTTACTCTCTTTCTGAAAGCCAAAAATATATGATGCAGTCCTAGAGGTCTTAAAAGCAGCCCAACCCTCTAAAGGTCTAATGGCAGAAGAGCAATATACTCAAGTTGATCAACCTCTCCTATGATTCTCAGAACCGCACCATATAATCCATTCTGGTCTCCAGAACTCTACCTTCCTAAAGCTTCCAGCTGCCTCTGCTCCAAGCCCTTCAATCCTTCTCTGCTCTTCCTGCAAGTCCAAGAACCTAGTCTTGCATGAGAAGCCATCTAGTCCCACCTTAAATGCCTTCCTGTTTCTGCCAACATCCCACCTACTAAACTAAGCCCCAAACCTGAATATAGCTCTGCCACGCAGATTCTCTCTGCCCCTCGTCTTCTTGTTTCACATTGCTGCATCTTCCCTGTATTTAAGCTCTAATGTCCCCTAAACTTCCACTGCCTGCTGGCTGGCCACCTGTTACCTCTCTCACTGCCTGCTTCAGACAGGTAAGTTGACCTCCACTGTTCCTCATTTTTAGTCATTCTTTCTCTATTCTCTAATTTTTTGGCAGATGTGCAGGAATGGGTAGGAGATGTCCTGATTCCACCTTTGATTCTACCTTATCTATTCATTATGTCATCCCACAAATCAAAATACCATTTATGTGTCCAGGGTACAAGCTACATTTATTGAAACCACAGGAACACACACAGTGGAGAGGAAATAAAGTGGTCATACCTATCAGTTTGCTCTATGTTACCCTGCAAGAACTGGGCTGGGCTGGGCAAAGAAGAGAATACAAAACACACTTTAAGCCAATTTGCTTTTACTTGCCAGCAGAACTCTCAATTAATTCAAATCCTGATCGGCATAACAACATACAGGCAAACATCAGAGCGTTGGGGAGATAGGAGAGCACAGAACTAGGAATATTGGGGGCATACGACTTCTGCCCAGGCTTCCTTGAGTACTAGGGACTGCCCTGAAGCATTTTTCAGTTGAAACACCATGTTGCCACAACCCTCTTGCTCTGTGAGTACATATACTTGGCACAGCTGGTCAGTGGGTCCTTCCCAGCCAGGGAGAACATGAAGGGAAAATGAATTAAGAAACTCTTGTTCTGATCATCTGAGACGTGAGACTACTACATCATCCCTGTCCTTGAACAAAAAGTAATCTTCATACATATGTGTGCCACATAAATTTTGAAAAAATTATTTGTTTTTATTATTTCACAGGTGGAAAAAGAAAGTTGCTTATTTTCAGTTATTTAAAAAATCCATCTTCTTACACATTTGCACAATACTACATGTTTTGCATAGTCTCTTTTCATATATAAAAAGCTGATTTTGTTGAAAATAAATGAAAAACAAATAGTTCTATTAATACTGATTTTCATAATGTTCCTTTAAAGGGATCTTAAATCATAAGGTTTGGCTCTATGATTAAATTGTCTTTCTGGAATGTTCCTTCTTTGGAAAACATGTCCTGATGAGAAAGGCTAGACTGAATAACTTTAGCTAACCAGATGCTACCTGTAACTCAGAAACATTTCCCAAGTACTCAAAACATTTTTCGTATCTTTGTATGATGCCTCCTCAGATTATTTTACATACCTTGGGCATGCTGACAACTAAATGACCAGTTGTTTGTGATCTTTTAGCAGAGCTGCTGTCTGGCTTCACTTCCTCAGGGAGGACAAGCTGAAAAGGCTATGAGAAAATAAGGGATTGAAGTATATAGTGCTAAAATATGATTTTTTTCTTTTTTTTTTTGACCAGGGCAGAACACATGCAGAAACATCACTATCATATCCTTTGATCTTAAGGACAGTAAAGGTCTAAATCCTCTCACTTTACATGTAGTATTACTAATCCTAATAAATGCTTAGCATGCTAAACAGCTTTTACTTACAAATATAGTCATATGTATATTCCTGAATTGCTATCATTTCTGAAGTGACATTTCTAAAGAAGGTTATAAAATGATGCTTGACTTATATTAGCAATTAAATGAGAAAGATTATCCAGCCTATTTTAGACATAAAGTAATTCTGAAGTTTTGTTTATGTGGTTGGTACAGTCAAAAATAGGGATTTTGGTTTACTAAGTACTTTGAATTTTTCCAAAAAAATTATGATAAAATTAAAAACCACTGACAAGAGAGAAAACTGGCATGACATTTTAAACGCCCTTTTAAAAGAATATAAAACCATTTGTTTCTGTCAGCTATAAATTCCAGATTGTGAAATTGCTAAATTCTAGCCTAGGGCAACAAGCTCTCTTCTTAAGTGAATTATGGTACACTTTGTTGGGGGAATAAGAGGAGAGGAGAGAAAAAATTTCATTTCCAGCTTTGCACATCTTCTGGTTAGGAATCCCACAGTTTATGTGTTGTCCAAAATAACGCAAGTATGAAATAATGTTTTTTCTGCATAGGTTCACATGGTTGGGAACTCATAAAAGTCAGATCCAGAGTCCACAGAATAACTATGGTAAGCATTAACTCTTGATTTGAAATTAATGTAGCAAGAAAACACTGACCTTTCCCTTCACCAGTACTCGGATGTAAGTTGGCTGGACATCAACATCAAGCAGAGAAGTGTCCAAATGTCTTCAGAATAAAACATAAATAAATGAATTTGTCTACAATGCAGAAGAAGTCCAGTAAATAAGCAGTGCAGAACATATAGCTCTTTGATGACGATTTCATAGTTTATAAACTACAGACTTCAACTTCAGTTATTAAGTTATGAAATATTGGGGTACTGTCTTTGGAAGAAAAACATTATCTTCCTGTGTGTTCACAGAATGTAAATTAAAATAGTGTCTAGATTCTGTCACATCCACCACATCAGCTATTGTATAAACACAAGAATTCAAAATCTTTATGGAAAATGAAAAAGTTTTTCTTCTATTAGTTTAGTGCTTTACATTAATATGAAAATTAATCAATTTGCTATTTAAAACTGAAAAGTATTTTGCTACTTTTCTTTCTGAAGGCTTAACTAATAAATTTATAATAAGTGTTCTTTTTTTGCACAGAATTTGCTGGAAAACAATGAACAGAAATACTTTACATTCCCAGAAAACAGAGTACTTTTAAATTTCAATGCTGTGAAACCTCCACTTTAACATCTGTTCTTTCATCCTGTGATGCATACACTGATGTTCTTGTGACCTACCAGTGAACGCACAAGTACGTATTCCCGATTTCCCTTCTTTTACATTAGTTCCCAAGTGAATTTTTCAAAATTTTTAGTTTGAATTTCTTAAAATTGAGCACGGAATATTACAACATATCCAACATTTTATTGCACCTGGACAGATTTTCTGAGGCTCAAAGAAACCTAATTCTTATAATTCAGAAACATGGAGCAGGCCTCTTTTGAAGGAAATTAATGAGCTGTAATGGAAGAACACCTGGCAAGAACAGGGTTTCTGTGGTATACAACTAGTTCAAGCCTTACTATAACAAGTTCTTATTATGGGTAAATAAACTTGTGGGTTTCCAACCCCTTCCTGAAGTGTGGGCCGTGCCACGGTACTTCTTAGTAGTATATACTATCAAATAGTTATCAGGTGCCTTGTCATATTTTGGTCTGGTTCAACTAAATTTCTTCCAAGTAATGCCCTGACACAGTTCAGGAAATAGCATGGGCCATGGACTCTTTCCAGTAGACAAGGAAAGTAGGACAAGGCTGCCCTACTCCATCTTGGGGAGGAGAAGAATTTAACTAGAAGGACATGAACTGTACTAGAGCACTTCAGGGCCAGAGAATGGGCAAAACCCCACCATTCCCTACAACCCTAAAGGAAAGGATTTTACATAAGTATAAAAGCATAGGTGTGAAGGAAGCCTGCATGGGAACTGCAGAAAACATCAGTTCCAAAAAGGACTATTCAACACAGTCCTCATTCAGCAGTAACAGAACAGTCTGAAGGGTCTTTGTTTTATTCAGATTCATTTATTTGGTAGAGGCTTCAAGACTGATTCCGTTACCTTCTATGTTATTTGTTTTCTTATTGAAAAGTTCCCCTTACAGAGAGGAGTATATTTGAAACACTGTGTATTAGAACTTAAGGATGGTGAAAAATAAGATTAAAAAATAAAAATAATTCTGACCTGTAAACGGCAAGATCCAGGATGATCTGGTTGTTTTCTTCATCGTCTTTCAAAGAGAAATGAAGCCTAATAATAATGACAAGAAACACATCCAGGATAAATACAATTGGAGTGAATAAGCAAACATTACAGCACACTTCAAATTCAACTGCTAGTAATTTTAGATGAATACAAGTACCACTCAGACAATATGTCACTTGATCATTTTAGAAACAGTTGCAATTTTCCTCATGAACAGAAAAAAAAACCCTAGCATTTGAACCAAAGTCATTCTTACATTTATTTTCGGCTCTCCCCACCCAATGCACAACAACAACAACAACAGAATACCACTGAAGGTCAGTTAAAATTAAGATCAGTCTCTCAGTGCAGAAACAGAGACATCTGCTGGTGAAATCTGCCTGCTCTGTTAACAACTGCCTAGAAAAAAACAGTGCATGAAAAGCATGAAAAGCCTGGAACTTGGTAATTTTAGCCTTATAATATGTCAAAAAATGTATCTTTGTTCATAGCAATTAATTTGCCTAGAGTATGAATATCTGCCTGTGCATTTCCAAAGTAAAACATGATTTGCACAATATCCTTGATTCTGCAAGCTTTATAATATTTGTTGAATATGAGACTGTAGATTGTATTAGCTGTGTGTTTGTGATGTGCTGAGTTCTTAAAACTGTGAAAGAATCTTACCAGTTCTAGTCTAGACTTAAAAGTTCTGCTCGTACACTCAAACATTTCCCATGTATTAAAGAAGAGAAAAAAAAAAAAAACCAGAAATAAACCCCTATAAATTAAAAGATTTCTATAAATTAATTATTAGTATAAAATTAGAGGGTTTTGCTTAATATAATTTATCCAGAATATTACAGTGACATTAAAATACTTAGACACTCTGAGTTCAGGTAACAGAAAGAAGATCAAATTTTAACAGTTTAGATTAAATATATTTTCAGCAATAAAAATATTTGCCAGATATACTTTTTAACTCTTTGCTCTCCTGTACTCTGATACAGTCAACTTGCAGGAAAGCTTACAGAGCTTTTAGTTTATGGGAATTTTTTAACAGAAAATTGCAAAGAATACAAAACAGCTTTGTTACCTGTTCATGTTTTTTATCTTACTGCATGACAAATTTTGAGAATTCACTAAAAACATGAAGGGTGAAAAAGAAAAAAAGAATTGCAAAATTTTCTGTGGGGAAGCTAATCAGAACTGAGAAAGATAAATAGGCTGTTCTCAGAAGCATGAATTCTAGAGGGCTATTGCTTCTAAAAAGATAGCTAGAGCTTTATTCTAAATGTCTCTGCTTTTTCAAGGCATAATCATATTCTATTAGCACAAGATTTATACTGTTTTAGACTTACCCTATTTGAACTAGAAAATGATGTAATTTTTTTTCAGTCAACATATTTTTACAAAAAAAGTGCATCAATACAATGGCAAGTATCTTCTGCCATTACCTTTAATTTTCCCTATATCACTGAAAATTATGCATTGATCCTATAGTGTAGGTTTTCAAACTCCTTGAACTGGCATGGATTTAGAAAACATTCTTTATGCTAATGATAAGTATGTTCACAGCTTTCATTTTGCAGCTATATCAGTCTTAAAATGGAAAAACTTGTTCAGAGGACAGCAGACAGGTAAGCAGCCCTTCGTTGGCCACTTTTTGGTCAGAGGCTCCTGTAGGACGCTCTTTGGGGAGCCATTTACAATGTTTGCTTTCTCTGTCTCCTTTTTTCCATTAGAAAAGGAAGGCTTGGTTCAAGTGAAACCAATGGTAATGCATGGCTGATATCGCTGGAAACTTCAAAACACTGGAATACCCAAGTTTTTGCTTTTATCAAAGATAAAATACAAGAGACTTCCCCATATCACCAGCCTCTGTTGATAGAGACCTCATTCAGTGTCAAAGGACCTCATGCCATAGAAGTCAATTACATATCCTCCCCAATTCTGCCAGTTTTACATCTGTCACCAGAGGATGGAATTATTTTGTCCAGAAATACTACTTGAACATATTTTTCCACATTTAAAGTGGCCACTCACACACATTTATCTTCCATAGTCAAACCAGTTCAATTTTTCCACTATTAGCAAGATGCTCAAAGAAAGAGAGTCTTTCTTACCATAGAAAGGAAAAGAGTAAAACACCTTCTATCTCTTATAGAAAAACAAGTTCTTTAATCATCAAAGACCAAGATGTTAAATTAAACAACCTTCAACACTTTACTCACTGAAAATGAATTCTTTTTCCAGCATCAGAATATAGCTTTAGAAGTCAGTTTCCGCAGGAAACTGAGGAATATATTCAGGAATATAATACTGCAATGAGAATTTGTCAGCCCTTTTATTTTTGAATTGTCACATATCTTGAAATAGTTTCCCACATCAACTATAAAGAGGTTAGCCTATCTAACCTCTGAACCTTACATACTTAGGCACATTCACATTCAGAACTTTTCCTTCTGCAGTGACCAATGTCCGAAGAGGCTTCTCCGTCTTTTTTGATTCCCTTAATAAAATAGAAAGAAAAATGGTTTATAATGTCACATTCTGGTATTTTATGTTTCATAGCAAAAAAGAAAGAAGAGGATGGCAAGAGGTAAGAATTATCTGGTATTTGACATTAAGGATACAACTTATTTCAGGAATAAAACAAGTTATATCAAATGTCCAATTGCACATTAAAAGCATAACCTGAAGATGAGCAAATGCTTTGTAATATCATATCTTACATTGATAACTTCTGCATGTCACAATGACCATTATCAAACAGTAATATATCAAATTTATCTTGAATATTTTAAGAAATCAGTGGATTACTTAAACATATGAAATAGGATATTTTTCTAGTTATGAACGGTGGTACTAATCACAAGGTATCATTACTGTTAACTGATTTGATGTATGTGCATGCAATTCTAAAGAACTTTTTTACTCATGCTAACAAAATTACTTTTACTGAACAAATGTTTGGCACATCTCTAAATAGCATGTGTATCAGCCAATACTCTGTACTAGTAAAAAGAATTATAGTGGTCAAAAGTTTAAAAGCAGCATTAAATAGGATACAGTATGATCAAAGTGCAAACATATAAGCTATTTGTTGATGCATCTATTACATTTTTGTTGCATTTTTCCTTCAAAAAATACAATACATATTACTGATGGAGATGTTAATCTTTACTGTCCATGTCCAGCCATCAGCAATTAAACTCTATCTGAGTTTCATTTAGTGCAATAAACAAGCTACCTTAAATTTATCTGCCAAAATAAACCAGAACTCTTGAAGATCATTAAGATTTGTAGTACTGGTATTTTCCTGTATAAATGTTTAGCTCATGAGCAAGGAGAAGTGTAAGGAATCTTAGGAACATGAAAAAGAACAGTCTGCTTGCACCTAGGTAAAAAATGGCTGTTTTCTTTAAAAATACAACACAGTAACTGTCACTTTGCATCAATCCACTCTTCAGTTGGTCATACAGACTGTGAATGGCTACTTCACCTAGCACAAAAAAAACACGTTTCTCAAAAGGACAACAGCAATACATTCCTTTTTGTGTTCCTGAATCAATTTCTTACCATAAATTCAAGATTAAGAGAACACTAAAGGTAAAACACTAATGAGGGAAATAAGGTGTGTAAGATTTAGACTTCCTTGAGGGGAAAAAAGCATTTTAAAAGATTTAGTCTCTAAATACAATGGCTTTGATGAAGAAATAAAAACATTCGAGTGAAGCTACTGGAATGACTACATAAAAACATCTGCTGTTTAAGAAAGATTCACAACTACCCATGTGTTAAATACTATTCTATAGTATAAATCAGAGCTTTGATATGGGATTCCTGGGCTAGCAGTTTCTACACCTGAATCCCAGCTCTTCACACTTAAATGCTAAGTGAATGAACCATCACTGTGTTCTGAAGATGGAGTTCTCAGAAATGCTTCAGGAAATTATATCCTGTCACCTCAGCTGTTAATAATCTGTTTCTAGATGGAATCTGCCTGCTCATATGAATCATATAAGGCAAATTCAGTCATGTCATAATCATTGGTTTAAGATAACTTGTTTAACTTTGTGTTGAGATGAGCTGAAAGGCCTTGTTCTGGCAATGAGCTAAAGGAGAACCTGTGCACCTTTCAGCTGCGATTGATTTTACAGTTGTCTGAATTTTCTTTGAATGAAACTGCAAGTACTCACTCATTTGGCAATAGCCAAAGTTGCTCAACTGTCTCCAGCTGGCAAATTTAATGTGTGCCAACATGTCACAGATAGGTTCAAATTCAGCATTGGTCTGATTGAGTTCATGTCAATTTTATACTAAAACAAACAGTCTTTTATATGGAGTGATATATATTAAAGCTATATTTCATCTCCTGTCCACCAGCAAGGAATGATTTGAAGTTGTCAGGGGCAGTTTTCTGTTCTCACCTTTATTACGCTACCAAACAAAAATCTTACCACCAAAACAAAATGAAAGTGAAAGGATTTTTAACTCCTTTAAATGCCTTGGAAATTTAGAAAAATCAAGAAAGGAATTATTCTATCTTTATTATAACGCTATTTGGACTCTTCTTGGATATTTAGAGGGAAGCATTGGGAATACATTTGCTTTTGTCCAGAGCAAGGCATCCCCAGACACAGCAAAATTCTCACTAGCTAGAATCTGGGTTTCATAGTGGTTCTTCTGGGAAAGTGCTAGACCTTGAATTAATAATAGCAACAAGTTATGCAGATTTCCAGATTTCTTGGAGAGTTCCCTGGACTGACTTTTTCAATACTTAAGCATGATAAATCTTTTAAAAAGCATGCCCTTAAAAAGAACAGCTAGAAAAATCTCTGGCACAAATGTTGTTGTATAAGCAAAAGGGGTGAAAAAAAAAAAGGTAAAAAAAAAAGTTACTGCTTATTGCTTGCAATGTCTGTGGAACTGATAAGCCAGCAGCAAAAAAATAACTTTTTTTGCTAGTATCTGCATTAATTTTCCCTGGTCAGCAAAACCAGTGGCAACTTCAGAAAGTTTTAAAACCTTTTCAGAGGCCAGACATCTTCAGATTCACCATGCCAAATAGCATAGATAACATAAATAATCTTATTACTCGGGATGAATATCTGTGATAAAGTATGTGAAAAAAATTCAAAGTTACATAGAAAAGGTGTCTGAAAGGACATTTGTGCAAAAATTTTGTAGCATGGCCTGTAGAGCATTTATATAATGCAACCTGCACTCCAGATAAATGCTTTTATCAAGAATATTAAACATAAACTACACCAAACATATCAGTTAGCTGACAGAAAAGTGAAACTTCTAAAGTCTATAAAACAGTGTTGAAAAGAGAAATTATATTTTAAAATGATATTTGAGAAAAAATAAAATACAGGTTATAATAAATAAATTTTAGAAAATTAAACAAAACAAAATGAACAATTTGAATATTTTATTTAGATTTTATAAACATATTTGCACAGGCAACAACGATTTAAGCTGCCATTTCTCAGTAACATTTAATGTGAGGCAGTTGCCTACTTCTACTCTACCTTTGAAAATTTCCCCTTCATCAGTTCATAGAAGATATTAAAACAAAAACATACCTTGTGTTGTCTTTAGCTCTCCGTTTTTCTTCAATATATCTGTGAGTTTCTAATCTAGATTCTGGAGTATACGGTGTAGGCTCCTCCCAAAATCTTCTATCTTCTTCATCATCTTCAACTGTTCTCCAGGTTTCTTGTTCTACGTCTCCTTCTGCCTGATGGTTTTCTTTGTCCTGTAGGGAGTCTGGGCTGCACAAGATCACATGGAATATTATCCCCATGAAATGAAGGAAGAGTAACAGTACCTGCTAATGAATTCTTGTAATCATATTTTTTTAACCCAATACGAATAGCTGTATAATTCCTACCAAGAACAGTATCTTATAGATTCAGATAACATTCCCTGCTCTGCTGCTTTCGTCAATCAACACAACATCTTTTGACATAATGTTTTTAATTGACTTAACTAAGAAGTGCCGCTATGTTTACACCTGACCCTTTGAAAACCATAACAGATAGTTCAACAGATTTAATTTCAGGAACAGAATTTTCAGATACTCTCACAACACCCAGGTGAAAGAAAACCTTCAGTCCATGTGATGTTTAAGTATTCCCAATACCAGGGAGGAACAGATTAGAAATTTATAGGGTAGCAACATTTCACTTAGGCATCTCCTCAAGTGCCATCCTAGAACCTGAATCATTTTTCCTCCTAGCCCTAAGCCCCTGTAATCTTTAGAACTGCTCTGTCAATATAGAGAGAAAACTAAATCTATTATACAGCTGTGATCTATGAGGACAAAGTTCCACAGCCAGTTCCACAGAACTTAGACTCTATTGGATTGAAAATAAGATGGATGGCAACTGCAGTGGAAGATCACCCCCGGAAAAAAACCCTTCTGCTGTCTAGGTAATCTCAGAGATATTAGGTGGAAGAAGTATAGAAATCAACATTCCATAACCTTTTACACCTCGAAGACCTGCAATATTCCATTTCATTCTTTATAATAACTCTAAAGCAAAAGATATCATAGGTGAACAGCTGCTTTCTCTGGAACCCCTGCATTACCTTAAATACCAGTTTCCAGCTGTTATCCTGAAAGAAGCTATCAATTACACTATTCTGGCACTGAGACAAGTAAGCTTAGAGTTTTGGGAAAATATTATATTGTACTCTCTGCAGGTCAGTAATTAATTATGTTTGTGATGAATTATATATTTCATTAGTGATAACATGCATGAGGAGAAATAATTCTGCTAGAATTAACAATACAAACAGATTTAAGTGGAATTATATAAACTATTTAATGAGGAAAACTAAAATTCTTAATGAAGAAAAACAAGAATGATGTTTGCTCACACACTGTTCTTGTTTACTGTTACCTGTCAAATGCAAGTTTTGATTTCATTTCTTTTTGTTTCTTGTCCTTTCTTTCTTGCATCCTTCTTTGAGCCTCTTCTTTTTCTCTGGCCCTTTTGAGAAGGTAAGCTTGTTCCTGTGCTCTGATTTTCTCTTTCACTTCTGGGTAGTTCTGAAGTGCTTGAATTCTCTCTGAACGTTCTATTTCTTTACTATCCAAACACTTTGCAAAGAGAAAAAAAATCAATATAGATATGTCATAAATTTTAAACATATTCAAATCAATAAATCCATTACACTGTAGTTTAACTTTTTACACGTTCTGTATAAAATTAAAAATATGCCTTTCAAACCTCCACAGCATTGTGTAAGTTATACTGTATTAAAAAGAATTAACAATAAATTGCTATACACATCTGAAAACTGTTTTGTGTACCTGAGAGTTCCTTTTTGCATTTTCCAGGAATTTCAGTTGGTCCTATAAGACTATGTAGTAGAGAGAGTCCCTTCAACCATTTCTGATATTTGTCTGACCTTGATCCAGCTCATTAAACAATTACAGAATTATTTCTTTTGAGATGCTAGTTAATTGCTGTGAAGTGAGCTGAATCTACTTGTGATACCACTGAGACCAAAACACAGTGCTTTTTAGCTACTAAGAAGAAAATTAACCCTATTCTACCAAAAAAACCCAGGACACTACTCTTAGTAAGTTAAGCAAGTGCCTGTGCTTCTTCAAGGGAAATTGTGGGAGCATATTTCAGGACTGGGACTGCCTGTTTCAATGGCAGGAAATCTTTACATCAGTACATTGTTGCACAAAACCTCAACCCCAAAGTATCTATTTACAGTCAATGCAATATAGTGCAATTTTTTTGCACCAATTTTTCTCTCCTGCCTTACACTCTTGGTTTGATACATATTGTTGGTACAGTGCCAACAACCTGGTAACTTTATGCAGTCATGAAAAAAAAAAAATACATTGCGTATATAGAAATGAATGAGAAAATAGTCAGAACTGTACAGTGTATTTATTTTTTCAGACTTTATTTAAGGATCTCCAATGAAAATGACAGCAAAGTTAGCAAATGTATATGGTTTAGTCAAAACAGGACTAATTTACTATCATATTATTTACTGTAGTCACTTATTGTTCAGAATATAATTTCATTTCCTGTGGACAGTAAGAAAAATGCTCCTAGTTTTCCTACCAGTCATTTATTTTGCTTGAGATTAGTATGTTCAGTCAACAGTGCTGGTTATTGATCTGGACATAAATTTAATTTTTAAAATCTTACTTTTAATTGATGAAGAGTTGCCACCACGAACTGTCTATAACCTTCAAATTCAGTGCATGGGTTACCCACTAGAAACAGCTCCTTCAGATGTATGTTATATTTTAGGGTTTCAATACTGGAGAGTTCACCAATGAAATTTGCTGTCAGGTCAAGTTTCTTCAGGTCTTCACAGCCTGTTTGGAAAAAAACATAATTCAATTAATCCATAACATAAATATACACTTGGCACATACACACACACAAACATGCACACACACATGCACACACTTGGATATAAAACTGTCTGCATTCGTTGTCTGTATACTGATTTCATCCTATCAGAATACATCTTTTCCAAACCACAAGTGAAAGAGTGACTTATAGCTTGAGTTTATGAGGTCACAATAGTTACAGAAAGATAAAATAAACTCAATAAAATACAAAATATCAGAAGTTGTTATTCGTTTTATCACTATCAAAACGTTGTGGTCAGTGCTTGTATACTAAATGAGCTATTAAATGTTTCATTTCCAGATAAGCTGGACTTCAGTTTTAGCAGTCTGAGTTAATTGAGTCTTAATCATACAGCTAAGAGTGTGTAATTGCTTCAGGAGAGCAGGACCAGCTATGAGTTTCATTCCTGTGAACTGCTAATCTTACCTACTATTATTCTAGTGTAAAGATAAGGTTTTCTAAAAATTCACTCCAAGTCAAGATGAGGTTTTCCACTCTATGGACTCAGCTATCATTGTGAATACTTTATGACTGGCTAAATTGCAAATAGTGGTGAGAAAAATGTTGTTTGTAAACAAAAACAATTAATTATTAACAGAAACTCTAAATTACCTAACAAAATGCTCTAGGAAATCCAGATCAAAAATTTATCAGCTTCTCCTTTTATCATAATCTGTTTGTGAATCATAACTTTGACTCTAAGAGTAAAAAAGTTTAGCAAAGAGCAAGCTCAACTTTGGTGCTCATCATTGAAATAACTTCTCTTCCTTTGCAGATCTATTTGTCAAGTATTTTATGCATAATGGAGCTGAAAGAAAATAAACAACTCAAAATGATTTATTAAGGGATTTAAATAACCCAAATTTTTGCAAGGCTCACTCCCAAATGTTCTGACTCCTAAGTAAATGACAAATCACAGTAATAAATAATGCAGCCTGATAGAGGAACTTAATATTTACTGGCATGAAAATAGATGCAAGTTTCTCAAAAAATTGCCAAATATGTAATGTACTACCTCTTTCTTCAACTTTTACAAATTTGAGTTTAGCCTATTTGCTTATTTTTTCAACTGATTTAAGCCCTCCTCTTTAATCAGTTTGTAGACTTAAAAAAACCCAACCAAACAAAAAAGCCAAATCAAACCAAACAGCTTTTTTTTTTAATTGTTTCCTTGTCAAGGTGGACATTTTAAAGGTTCAGCAACTGGTCTAATCAGAATCAAGAAATAGAAAGAAATCAAGTCAGAAATTATTCAAGTAACATGGAATGTGTCTATGGGTGGCTCTAAGTCTCAGATTTTGATCTTGGAAAATGCTAGATCTTTTCACATGGAATTACAGTGACAGGATAAAGAATTAAACACAGATAAAACAGACAGGACTTAATGCAAGGACAGAGAAAAAGTAATCTGAAAAACTCTTTAACAATACCCCAGTCTGCCAATGTAACCTGTACACAGAGCAGAACCTTCTTGTGTGTGACACTTGATTGCTGAAGTGAAAACTGCTGAAACATTACACAAAAGAGATTTTTTACAGCCTACATGGCATTGAATAAAATAAAAAAAATCACATTGCTCCAGCTAACCTGCATGACAGGTTTTACAGTGGGGAAATACCAATTTGACAAAAAATATGAATTCCCACTTTGTAAAGTGTTAAAGAATAGAGCTATCTCAGCCGGCAAGACTGTGAGGGAGTATGCAAAAAGTGAGTAAAAATACACTGAAGAAAGTTCAATGACAAAACTGCAGCAGTAGGAAGCATTTGCTACAAAGAAGCATTTGTTGAAATCCTGCACACAAAAAGGCTCTTTCTGACTATCAATAAAGTATCTTTACAGGTGGATATACTTAATCGCTTCTAACTTTCTTTAAATTAAGTCAAAACTTAAGTGTTTCAATATGAAAAGTTAAAATGATTTTTTAAAACCTGACCTTCCAGATTTTCAATTCTTTCAATGTTGTTTAAAGCTACATTTAAGTATTCCAGCTTCTTTAGTTTGCCCACATTTTCTGTAAGAAAACATAGACGTGTTATTTCCGTTTTCTTCACTGGAAGAAATTTCATTATTTTACTTGTTCACTTTACTTCAAAGAAACAATGGAGGAAAATAGGAAGGAGAAATCTGAATATATATCAGAGTAGTGTGCATTAATATTTTAATATTAGTAGAAAGACAAAACAAAAAGATTATCTGAAAACACAAACTAAAATAAAAAAGTTAAAAGAAATAAGGAAGGTTATAAACACTTTTTATCACAAATTCATAAAACAAGCATATAATGCAAGAGGACTGGACAAAAAGCATGGTGAAACATTTCATTTGTCATGCAACTCAGAAAGGATCAGGCCATACTTACTCAAGATTCATAAAATTGGAGTTTTACACTCACTTATATAGAAAAGATTGGCTTCTTCAGTATATATTTAATTTCAAATATCTTTTATCTACAAGGTTAATATAAGAAACTTCTCCATTTAAAAAAAAAATAAAAGCAAATAAGGATTTATATGAATCAGAATGAACAAAACAAAGCCACACACACACACACACACACTCCGTCCTTCCTAATCTGGAATCTAACCTGTATTATTTTCACCATGAACTATTGAAATTAGCAGGTTTGCATTGTGTGGGGTGGTGTAAGAATGGCTAGTGTTTCCTTCTTTGAATACCCAAAGAGGGTAAAGAGGGAACAGGGTCACAATTATCTTAATCAATCCCCAAAATATCTGAAAAAATGCAAATATCATTGGAGATACATGACACACAGGTCAGAGACGTAAGTCTGAGACAAGATACATGGTATAACTTGTGTCACGATTTACCAGTTTCTCCGCAGTCACCAGATCTTTCAAAGATCTGACTGGAAAACCTATCCTATCAAACTCTAATTCATCAGCCACACTGATTAACTGCTGTACAAACTGTTTTGAGACAAACAAAGAAATTCAGTAGGGGGGAGATTCATCTAACCAACACAGCTGGGTTAGTTGGCTAGGCTCTTCCATAATCAATAAAGAGAAATAGGCTCTTCAACATGCAATTTGTCTTACCTTAAATTGGCTGTCTAGAACCAATGAACCAAATCATGCTCAAAAATATCCCTTTTCTTCTCCACTGGTTCTAAAGGGGGCTAAAGTAACTGCCTAAGACATAGATGTCTAAAAGTTTGGTGACATGGATCCTGCCACTTGGTTTACTAAGACCTGGGAGAGTTATTTTCTTCGATTCACTAACAGATGATGAAATAAATTTCTCATCAAGGACTTGTGCAGCTTGGTTGGCTGTTCATTTTTCTTACAGTATTTCTGTAACGGCAGCTCCTGTACACATGAAGATGTGAGAGACAGGTGTGAGTGTTGTGAGAAGCGCGTTGTGAGAAGTGTGAGAGTGTGTTGAAGCCAGTGGTATCTTGTGAGGTTTTTTTTCCATTTACAGAAAAGAACAGGACTCATGCATACAGTGGATGTCTCACAACTTGCTCTCTGCTTAGTAGGCAAGTCTGATCTTGAGGGCTGCAAAAAGGCTTTCTTGAGAAGAGAAAAGACACATCCCAATGGAGTTAACATAAACCATTTAGCTGTGAGATTTTGAAGTGTGCTTGGAAATGCTGTGTGCTCCACATGGACATGTTGGTATTCACCAGGAAGAATTACTTCTCCAATTCAGTACTTTGTAACACAACCCCTATTGGCAACCCATTTTGCTCACTACATAGTGCTGCCTTTTTTTTTTCCATTCCTACCAAGGCGTTATCTTGGAAAGCTGTTACATTAGACAAGAACATATGAAGCAGGAAGTTGCATACTTTTCCAACTCCTACAGTTGGATTAAGATAAAAATTGAATGTCTCAAAAATGAGATCACTGAAAATCTTGTGTCAAAAACGCAATAATCTGAATGGTAATATACCGTACGAATCTAAAGGAGGTATGACTGTTGACAAAAGAACGAGATTAAGTCTTGTGCCTTGATAAGGACAAGGTAAAAGAGAGAAAAAAACCCAAACTTATTTTAGTCCCATTTTTGATGGGGCAGAGCAGCATAAAGCAGCTTCAAAAAACTTATTCTCTCTGGGAGAAGACTCCTCCACTCTTAAGAAATGCAGATGTTATCAGTACAGATACAATGTCCTGATGAGCCCCTCCAGAGGAATTAAAGTCTTTGCCTACAAGTCCTGACCACAGAATTTCTCCCTAAAACTTTAGACTTTTGTTATTCCTCATAAGGAACTTCAAAGAAATATGAAAATATAATTTCTGAGCACTTCTGACTTTCCATTCTTCATCTACATGCTATATGTAGAGTCTAAGCTTTTCCAACCCAAGGCTTGATGTCAGATCTTTCTGTAGAGAGCGTAGCAAACATGTGAACCTATAGCAAAAACCACAAACCGTATGAAATTATACCTTCTCCTGTGGTGCAGGAAGACCTTTGAGACTTCACTGTAAAAAGTTGTCTTTACTTACAAAAGCAAGTATTTTTTCTCAATGAAAATTATTTCAATGTTAAAAAAAAATACTGATTGTATAAAAACTGAATTTAAAAATGAGCATGAGGAGAGCTGGTTCTGTGATATCACAGTCCACGGTACATGCTGAACTGCTTGTCTCTCTATTTGCCACAAAGACAGGATATTTACATTATATCTTTATTAATGAGGTATTTAAAAGGTATTCCACACTCATATTCTAGTGATGTTTATCTCAGTATTTTCATTTAAAATTTCTCTTGCAAACTTCTGAGCTTCTTAGAAATTTAATAAAGAGAAAGGAAAAGGAAATCTTGTAGGAGGAGATCCACAAAGAACTTCTCTGTAGTTACTCATTCTACATTCCCTTCAAGTATAACACAACAGATATTCTTTTCTGATTTCAAAATTATGCATGTAAATCCATTTAAAAAGAAACATATCCAGAAAACACTTACCAATTTTTGGAATTAGATTATTCTGAAGATAGAGAATTTTTAAATCTCGACACCATTTGTCAAGATACTCTAGTTTTTCTATTTCCTGTTGATGTAAAGAGATTTCTTCCAGTGAAAAAATTTCACAGTTGTTATGTTCTGCACACCTTCTAACAAGATCTTCAGTGACTGAAAGAAACATTAGATGTCAGATCTCCCTTTAGTCATTTTCTGCCATCTGACTTTTAAACAACTTATAAAATCATTAAAATCTTTTGCTGCATCATGCCAATTACATATCCAGTAGGAACACCAACAAAAACAAAATCTGCTAGAAAAGATATCAAGTGCCAAGTAACTTCAGCTCACTCTGCCACAGTAAACATCATTTGTGAAACACGCTCACATCACCTGTAACATTTAGAAAAATCCATATGAAAACTGCTGAAGTCTTCCATAGGAAAGTAATGCAACCCTTGCAGAAATTAATCCAGCATCCACTATTTTCAGCATAGCTCAGGTTGCAGATTGACTCATGTAGACAAGCAATGGAGTATTTCATGCTCTATTTCCTGAATCCACATGTTGACATCATAGATACTGGGGGCGGGGGGGGAAGTAAACTACCTATGGTCTGTCATTATATTCCTCTGCCAGCACAGTATGCAAAGAAATAAGCAGGATGAATGTTGAAAGTGGGCAGTTATTTTTCACTTTTTTCATGCTTGAAGCAAAGCCATAATTAATTCATGCTTATAAATGTTTATGTCTGAACGAAATTTAATCCTAGGTATTTCTTAGGCACTACCAGCTCATTAGCAGCCCAGCAAGGGACTTTCAGTGGCCAAAGGACATCAGACCTAGGTTCAGAGTTTTCACAAAGTAATATTTATTGCCAGACAATCTCCCAAACAGTGAAAAGGCTCTGTATAATGAAGGTAAAGAAATTCTATGAGAACCAGTGCTCACTCTTGAGCTAGATGTTATTACTTTGTTTACAGACCACTGCACCAAAGAAGCACTAGCATTTTCCTCTCTTTGACAAACAGTGAACTACAGTGAAGTACCCATTAAAAAAACAGGGTCTAATCAAATTAACATAGGTATTTTCATGATTGTTAAAGCTGAAAAAAGACTAGCAAGCCTTTCAAAAATACTCTGAAGAAAAATAAGTAAAAAGAAAAAAACAGAGAGAGATCTGTGAAAACAAATTGTTCCTACCATGCATTAATTAAAAGTATTCTTTCATAATTGTTTTGTCTCAGATAGGTTTTGTGAAATCATCCAGTTTCATTGGTCATCCTGGAATGGTAGCACACATTCACATGGACTGGTCTGCTACAACCTGGGTAAACCATGTACCAATACAGCCCAAACTCACATGTGTCACTGCAGCTTCTCTATCTACAGCCTTTGGGAAAGAGGTGAAACTGGTTTTGCATATATTACATTATTTACAGATGACCAGGGTTAAATCTCTCAACTATTCAACAGAGTCTAATCTGACATGATTTACAGAATTATATAATGATGACACTGATATTGACGTGAAAGGGGATCCTGTTTGCATATGCAGTGTATTGGGAAGGGTGTCTTTTTCTTTTTTTTAATTTTGTTGAGTAGCTTTGCTGCATCTGAACAACCACCTTCCCTTCAACAGCCCATTGATTAAACCTGAGTAAATTAATAGAGAAAATAGAAAAAAAAATGGCAATAATAATGACTAAATATTTTAGGCTTCACAGAAAATATGAAAAACATTGAGATTTCTAATGAGTTAATTGCCAAATCTGATGGAATTTGTGTTGTTTATTTGTTTGGTTTTTTTTTAAAAAAGGGCTACTAATGTGTTTGGTGACGGATCTTTCAGTGCTGGTATTTCCAGTGCAAACAGGTATTTTTGAGCAAGAAAACAATATTCCACAATCTACATACAAACACATTGGAGACAACATTATGCTCTATACCCTTTATACAAAAAGAAGTCATACAAACTATTCTGGACAGAGTTTTATTACAGTCAGATTTCCTTTTGCTGATGAAAAGAGAATTGAAGTGATTGTTGCAGTGATAGTGCAAAAACATCCACTTTCATCAGCAGATGGTTTGCAAAGCAGAAACAATCATTCCCAACAGAACCTACAATGGAGCCTTAGACCCATATTTTGGGGACTTACTGAAAGGAACTGAGTGAACGTTTGACATTTTGTATGCTACCTAGTTAATTTAAGAGGAATGAAGGAAACAAGTTTTTTCTTGCATGAGAAAACAACAAATTTTAAATAAAAGCTTTCCCATGACATTGACAAAACATATTGTGACATTACTACTCACTGAGAAGTTCACTAACCAGATTATCTGATGTGCACAGTAAAAGGAGAATGGACCAGTGACCTGAGAGATCATGGCTACTCCCATGTTCCCATGAACACAGGAGGAAGTAAGGGATGGCATCAATCAACTGGATAATAGATCTTGAAGCTCTAACAGCTGGGCTTCCAAAAATTACATGTTTTACTCAAAAAGGAGCAGATATGAAGGAAAGCATTAAAGAAGTAGAAAGAATAAGCAGGTGGACAGCTGCAGGTGTATCAAGAAACAGTGGGGGAGCCTGCATTTCAGAAAAGTGAAGTATGCAACCATTATTTTAAGACTCAAAGTCATGCCATGCTGTTCAGGAGATGAAGCCATTCTCCTTCAGGCAGTGCCTGCTCAAAGCAGGCATCTGCCAGCTTCATGCAGAGAGAAGGAGTTCCTTTCCGAAGCACTATTTTAGCCCAGCAAGGGGCTGTCAGTCCAGTGAGGGTATGCAATCAAAACAGATTACAGGGAAAATCAGAGAGGAAGGGAATTCCTCAGTAATTTTTTACCTGAGTGATATGTATGAGCACTCAGTCTTTTAGGTCATCCTGCTTTACCTCTAAAAGATTATGGATTCATAAGTAATAATGTGGTGTATTTTAACCTAATCTAGGGTTTGGGTTGGTTTTTTTTTTACATCTCTGATAAAGTGTCTGCATTGGCCACCTCTACCTAAAAGAAATAAATTATCATGTGGTGTTGAAAACTGATAAGTGTGGGGAAAGGACAGCGCTGAGAGCTCTATGCCCAGACATAAGCCATCCCGCCAGGCATCTCCCCTTGCAGGCGGCTGCCCCACACACGGAGGCGTCCCTGCCTAGGCCACCCCGCTGCTGGGCTGTTTCAGGGGTCAAGTGCACCCCTGTGCTGAGCTTGGTGAAATAAAATGGGTCGTTATTCCCACGGAGGAGGGAGACCAGGTTATCCAGCCCGCTGAGGAGAGCAAGGGAGACAGGAGAGGAGAGGGGCTGCCAAGGGGTGTGGGGGATGGCAGGGAATGGGGGCAAGCAGGGCAAGAGGGAACATGGTGGCCAGGGAGCGGGGCACGTCCTGAGGAAG